TGTATCGAGGGCCCTCGAGAATTCATAAGAATCGACCGAGTAGCACTCCATGTCAATGCAAATGTGCACTCCACAGTCCTTGACTCCTGTCTGCTGCCTGAGGTATCCGAACGCTGGATCCTTTGGACGAATGTCCATTCCAAAATTCAAATGAAGATACCCCGCCATGAACTTGGCCTACACATAAAAAAAAAAAGGAAAAAAGCAACAAAATACGTTTATTCGAAAGAAAATAATCACTACAAAACAAAGTTTTATATGTAATAATAACACTTACCAAGCTCTTCCCAATCCCTCGATACGACGGAGTATCCATCGAGTTGTGGTACACAAACTTCTTTTCTTGAACATTAAGGACAAGTAAGAAGAAGTGATATTTCTGGAGCACGGGAAGGAACAAATACTTGGCACCATTCAATGACCCCAGCACATCATCCAGCACGGCAACACTACTTCTACTAAGAGTAGAAGTACACGCCCGATAATCCTCCAGTTTCCAAACAGTTCTTTTCTTAATTTTTTGGATTGCACTCACCACATCACTCTACAAAATCAATATTTTTTTAGCAAATTAACAACAAATAAAATTAAAAGATATATTAAGATAAAATACCTGAACGTATGTCGGCAGAAATCGGACATGGGGATGGCAGCCACGCAAAATCGCCATATAGCAATCAACGAGTTGACAATCCAACTCGTTCCCAAAGAGAAGAGCACACATCGATTTTCCTCTGACCAAAATTTGGTCATTCATCCAAATAGTTTGGCTACCAAAATTTATAATTTTAATTAGTATAATATAATAGAAATTTAAATAATTAACGTACTTTCGATTACCTCAACTGATCGCTTCCCAAGAATGACCGGATGGCTGCAGCATCCTCTTCCGGGACATCTCCATGTCCACAAAAATCTTCTCTGCCCCTGTATTGATTCAGTGAACAATCCTCATGGTCGTCAGTCTTGTCACCCCCCTACATTACACAATAATTAGTTAGCTATATGAAAAAAACACAAACAATCACATAAATTACAAAAATAAAATTGCTACATTAATTACCTCATCATCAACGACGGTCACCAACTGCGTCTTTTTCTTTTTTTTTCAGCCTCTTTGGACCGGATGACGGAGGGGTCATAAAATCCACCGCCTTGGTCTTCTTCTTCCTGTCAACTCTTTCTCGGACTCTTTTCACCATTGAGGAGGGCTGTTCACTCCCCTCCACCCTCGAAGAAGCCGATTGCTCCCCCAAAGCCTCATGAACAACGAGGTCGACAAGTCGGTCCAGGTCATCAAAGTCATTGACATCCTCATTCTCGTTCACAACCGGTTCATTTTCAATGACCATTAAAGCCCATCTTTCCTCTTTATTTTCCTCTTCTTTTTCTTCAACCTCTTTTTCCTCCTTTTTTTCTTCCTCATTCTCCTCTTTTTCCTCCATTTTTTTCTCTTCATTCTCCTCTTTTTCCTCAGCCACACCAACATCAACACCATCAGCACCATCAGCAGCCTCAGCACCATCAACAGCCTCAGCACCATCAGCAACCTCAGCCTCAGCCTCTTCTTCATCTCTTTTCTTTTCTTTCTTCTTTCTTTGAGCCTCCTCCAACAGTTGAATTCTTTTTTTCAGTTCATCATTTTCATGACAAACAATTGCAAACAGTCGGTTCTCAAAACTTCCCTGTACATAAAAGAAAAAAAATTAAAGAAAAACATAAATTAAAGAAATTTGTAAATTCTCGAAAAAAATTAAAGGAAAACCTGGGCTTCCACAAACGCACGCTCGTCTAAAGCAGGCGATACCGAATACACCTGCAAATCAAATAAAAATGATTTAAGTACAATATCGATTAACCAACAAGATAAAAACAAGAAGTACAAAACACATAATACTATAAAATTATATAAATCACCTTATGCCTCATTATTTTTCTAAGGGACTGTAAAGACCCTTCAAATGTAGACGGCATAGTGGTCCCCGTCCATCGGAATAGACGGGGAATCCTCTCGAGCGTTGAACGTTTGCCCAGAGAAGGCACACGCTCATATAACCATGCCTACACACATATACGTGATTTCACAATTACACAATCGCACAATTTAATATTATTGTGTTAAGACATTGAAAAAAAAGAAAAAAATATACATACCATCAATCCAACAACACATCCATCAAAATATGATCGGTCTCTTGATTCCCCATGGCGAACAAGTTCGGCGAGCAAGAATTTATGAGTAGCATCTCCCCATGCATACTCACAAATCCGACTCACATCCTCCAGGTATGGGTAAACAAACCTGGGGATCGAATAACTAGAACAAGGAAACAATATGCAACTAAAAACAAACAAGCTGTACATCCTGATGAAGTCGTCTACACGACCTTCATCAGCGGCAAATTTTTCTAACATATTGACAACATTCTTTCTTTTCAACAATTTCTTATCCATTCGACCCCACCCATCGAATAGGGCTTTCGACTCTAAATTGAGGTCTAAGTCTACGCTTAAACCCCCCTGTCGAAGCCCCATCGTTATACAAAACTCGGATGGGTCGAAATTAAGCAACAAATTATCACCTACAACAAAAGCATTTAAGTCTACCCTATAAGTGCTAATTAGAGCCTCGACTCTACTATGTAAAATAGCTACATCAGGCATATTCAGAAAAAAAATAAAACGGACTCTTTTGAAGAGCCTCCTTGTGCTTGTCCGAGAGCAAGCAAACAGTCTTATCCATGACGTCTTTGAAATAAGAAGGGGCACACCTACATCTTATTTCTGTGCCCTGTCACAAACAATTAAAACGAACAAAATTTTCAAACGTAAGCCTTAAAAATCACAGAAATTCACAAAAATCACAGAAAAATCACAAAAATCATAGAAATTCACAAAAATCACACAAATTCACATAATTACACAGAATCACAGAAATTCACAAAAATCACAGAAAAATCACAGAAATTCACAGAAATTCATTTCAGCCCTAAATTCAAACAAATTCATTTCAGCCCTAAATTATTCAATTCAAGCCCTAAAATTTTGAAATTACAGAAAATCAAATAAATAAAGAAAATCCCTAATTATTGAGAAAACCCCTATTTTCGAATTCAAACCCTAATTACTGAGAAAACCCTTAATTTTCGAATTCAATCCCTAAAATTTCGAATTCACAGAAAACCCCTAAATTTGAATTGAAGCCCTAAAATTATGAAATTCAGATAAATTCAATTAAAGAAAAGCCCTAATTACTCAGAGCAAAGCCCTTAATTTCCTTTTCAACACCTAAATTGAAAAAATCCTAAAATTTGGAACAAAGCCCAAAAATCAGAAATTACCCTTGATGCCTTCCTAGGTGACGAGGAGGTGGAAGGTTTGCATGGAGAGGAGGAGGACGGTTTGCATGCAGTCTTCTTTTTGGAGCCGGTCATTGCTTCCCAGAGAGACGAACGGCGAGAGACGAAGGCGATGCTGATGAACGATGGACGATGAAGATGACGACGGACAACGATGAACAGAGAGCAGCTCGGCGAGGGCGAAAATTGAAAAGAAACATAGTGAAAAATAACAGAGAGACAAAGACAGAGAGGAAGAGAGAATAGGAGAGAGAGAGAGAGAGAGAGAGAGAGAGAGACCGAAAATGGAATTAAAAAAGGTTTCAGCTAAAATAAATGAAAAATAATAACATTAGTATATATATGGGGAGTGAAGTGGAAAGAGAAATGTGTAAGAGGGAGTGCAGAGGAAATTAATTAACTTGGGGACTGACAAGGCAAATAAAAAAGGGATTGGAGATTTAGTAGGAATTTACCGTATTTTCAATGCTCTTATTGTTCATTTCACTACAAAAAAATTGGTATATTCGATCGAGAAATCTTATGGTAATATGTTCTAGTGGAAATTTATGGATATTTCAATGGTATAATTTCAATTGAAATGACTGTTGGAATAAATTTTCCTTTGGAATTGATGAAATTTGATGATTCCAACTACTATTTTTCCAACAGATTGTTACCATAGAAATTTCCGTTGGAATCGTCAAAATCTTACGAAAATTCCAATGAAAATTTCATTCCAACGTAATAGTTTTATTGGAATTTCTGTTGAAGTCCATTAAAATATATTTCCATTAAAATTTTCCGTTCGAATTTCGTCATTTTTTTTTTTTTGTAGTGCTATAAAAACTAGTTATATTAAAATATTCCCTGTCAACGGATAGAATTACCTATTCTTTATCATCTAATCATCTTATTTCAATTCATTATGTCTATTATTATGTTTATATATAACTAATTATGATGATCATGATTATGTTTACATATAACTAATTATAGTGATGATCACTACACAGAGTATATATAGTAACATGAGACAAAGACTTGATATTAACTTGACAAAAAAAAAAAAAA